TTTAGCAGGTTCAAGGTCACGTAACGTGTTTTAACTTGTTTAAAATTTCGCAATACCGCTGTTGTAAAGATCATATACTTCCTCTAAATGTATTCTTTTTTAAAGGTCTTATCTGCCTGAAACATTCTCCCACTGTTTTATTTCCACAGATTTCAGGTTCTTTTATTGAATTATGTTTATAAAACTGTTGACATCAACCACAGTAAGTTCACTTTTTACAGAATTTGTAAATAACTGCAATAGATTGTTAAAGTGTAAGAATTTCGTTATTCTTCTGTGCATTCTTCTGTGACTTAGTCGTACATAAAAAGTATATAGTCAATGATTATTCTAAGTAGGTCTTATTGGCACTACTGCAACCCTATTTGTCTCAGTTTGTTTTTGTTCATGTTGACAAACCAGCCATATCTTTCGAACTTGAGGAGATGCAAGAGTTAGGATAATATTCACACTCGTCATTGACACCATACAGGTCAGCCACTCAACTTGCTTTAAAAAACGAAAGAAAATAACCATCGATGCTAAACATTAGAAAGGAAATTATCGTAGAGACGGAAAAAGCAAGCATTGGTATAAGCAGGATACTAATTCGGAAAAAAACTATAACATCTCGTTGAGTTGTAAGCCGTTGAACGTTTGAGATATTGAGTCTTAAATTGTTATCTCTCCTACGAGCTTTTCCACGGTATAGACATAACTGTTTATAGTTGTGCTAACCGGAAACAAATACGTGACTAATAGATGAAAATAAAAACTACGTTTATTGCAAAACGTAATTTTACATTGCAAATATTTAGTTACATACACAATGTCATCAAGAAGTGTAGGTAGAGATATCAAGAAATAAACTATCCATTGAACAAAAATTGTGATTCTATAAAGACGAAGCGATTGAAGATCTTGATGAGTATAGAAAACAATTCGGCATAAACGAAATATTGCTTGAAGTGTATTTGAGTAAAACACTAGTAACGGCGATCATCGTGAAATAATCACGAATATGACAAAATAAATCATTTTCCACAGATGATGTTACGGATGCACAAAAAAGGAATATCGCCCAAAACATATTCGCTGTTAATAAAAGTGGAACTGTATCTGATGAATGTTTTGTTACTTTTAAATAGTAGTGTATCTATGTGAACATCACTAACGATGAAATGATACCGAGCGATGCTGAAATAATGATTGAAGAATCAAACATGATATTAGCGATACTTGCTGTTGTTAAATTTATGACTATGCTTTACAATATGAATAGAAGAGCCTGCTTCTTTTCTAGCATTTTTTTTAAGTAAATTATGTTGATCAGTAGAAGTATATAACAATGCAATGTAATCAATTTTTTTCCTTTTCTTTGTTAGGTCGAATGCTACTCCAGTCTTCCTTCCATTTTTCATTGTAGATGTTTACATCATGCATTCTATTTTAAGGTTATACAATACATTAATGAAACTAAGATGATGCTTGAGTTATACTTTATGAATATTGCATTTTTATGAAAAGAAGCCTACTCTGTTGATAAAATCTCGGACAGAAATGAGTTTAAAAGAACATGAAAAAAATGTAGAGCAGTCGAGTTTCATACACGGTCAATTTTTCAGAACAGAAATTACCTAATAGAGTATCTATTCTCAGATTGAGTTTTTCGATTTCTCACACTTGTTGAAAGATTTCATAATTTGAAAATTTCTTAATAGCGACAAGAAACAAATCAATTGAAATATCTCAATCTATTACTGGCACGATTCACAAATTTAGTTATACATTTATCATATTTTCTATTATTCAATATGACTATTTTTTTTAACCAATGTTTGCAATGAAACTAATTGAATGAAAAACTGAAAAAAAAAAGTAATTGAAGACATATGCTTTTTACATGTTTGCTTTCGTCTAATACTCTTTCTTTTAGTCTTATTAGAATAGAATGCTTCGGTCTCAATAATCAAAATTTATTGTTTAATACATTATGAATGCTGCAATTTAATATTATTTATTAGTTCGTTTGTCTGACTTATTTATAGAATATTCAAGTTATATCATATCAGTAAAAAAATGATTATGTTAAAATGATCGTCTATATACAACTTAACATCATCATGTACTTAGTTTTTTTTCTTCTAAATAAGCGAAAATTTGAAATTAGTTGTTTATCAAAAAATGATTGAAGAAATCGCTATAATCTTAGTATACATATTTTCATTTTGATGATATTATACTTTTTCTTTATTAATGTAACTCTCGTATGCTATTGTTCCATTGGAATATTACAACCTTATATAATATGTTTTTAGGATGTGCATTGTTACCTTTGATTTTTCTCTTCATTTAAATACAATATAATACGAATGTGTGATTATAAGAAGATGATGATTGTAATGCTCTTGAAAATTTTCATTTCTATTCATCATATCCAACTCAGCTCGTTTGAAAGTAATCAAAATAAATCTTTTGTTTTTTCTAAATGTTTATTTTTTATCTAAAACAACATTTTATTATACCACTTGTTATTTAGATTGTGGTGAATCGGCCATCTTTTTTCTTTTGTTTCTATGTATAGTCATCACTACGCTAACAACCTGCAACCAACCATGTGAATAGGTTTTTTCCTTTTTTGTTTTTTACCTTTTCAATTGTGTATGCAAATGATTCGTTACTTTTTTTTTGCATTTTATGCGAGTATCTCTTTTATTTTTGATGAATAGAATAATTGTAATTTTCTTATAGATCCTAAAGAAAACATTTATTGTAGAATTTTTTTTTTTGTGACGTACAAACATGTCTGGCATCAATGAAAACGAACATGATCTTATCAAATCTACATCTATCGTATCAAAGAGTAAGCATCTTTCCATCCTAGAATGGTTCTGGCGTCTGGGAAAGCAATGGTGGCAATTAGGAAAACGATGGTATCTATATGTATGGTTCCGTTTAGTACGAGTAAGTTATTCGGCGTTTTTTTGTTTTAATATGAATAAAAAATTATATTGATTACTCAAATGTAGATTTTCAAGATGCAATTCTTGCGCAAAATAAATAACGAATCATTTCAAAAGCTTGTAAAGGATGCTTGCTGTCAAACTGATATGTGTGATGGTAAATTATCATTAAATAATTCATTTAAACATCATACAAATCGATTTTATTTAGTAGGAATACAAGAACCAGAACATTTTGATGCTTCGGATCAGTTGAATGAATGCGATACTTGCAGACAGCTGAGTTCTGATGGTTTTTTAGATCAGCAAAGTTTAACAGGTAAATGGAAGATCATTCAATTCAATAAAATTTCTTTCGTTTTTTTTTTATTTTCGAAATTTATAGATATTAGTTCAGCTATTACACCTTTGTCTCCTGAACTACCATTTTCGTCTACTCTCGGTGAGTTTTTTTTGTCAAAAAAGTTCTTTTGACTAACATATTTCATAACTAAATAATATTGTAGAAAGATTACCAACTATACCTGAGCAATCACCATTGGCTTCTCATGAAAATATACATTCATCAGACGATGAAAATTGTTATGCAATCGGCATTTCTTTTTCTGGAAAAAATAGAGAGAAAGTAGAAGAGATTTGTGAAGAAGTTCAAAAAGAATTGCCTGAGAAAATATTCTTTGCTCCATGGTATCAACATGAAGTAGCACAAGTATATGGAAATCGATTTTTACGAAAGATCTATGAGAAAGCTTCATTTGTTGTTGTCTTTCTTTCACGTGGCTATGAAACGTCTAATTTTTGCTGTTATGAATGGCGAGTTATTCAACAACGTTTCATGGTCCCGACAGCTGAGCAAAAAAACGATAGACTCTTACTCATTAAATTAGAGGATATCGATGAAAAAGCATTGGATCTTTTCAAGGATGATTTCTATATTGAAGTTTCAGAAATGACCACTGCAAAAGAAGTGGCCGATTCGATTATTAAACGATGGCGTATTGTTGAGAAGCTTCCAAGCATCTAATATAATATATAAACTTGAAATTACTGTTTCATATTTCGTGACTATTACTTTTAACCGATCAACACACAACTCATCGAAAACGATTTTCTTATTTCATATTTTATTTTATCTATTTTCTTTTCTCAACAATTTCTTTACTTCTTAGTCAAGTTCGATCCTATTTATACAGTGATATTTGTAATAAAAATGATTTGTTTACAATCATCAACATTTTCGTCATTCTTTAAAAATTTTATTCATCAAATCATACCATTGATTACTTTAATAGTTCCAAAAATAAAAATATGGACATATAAAACAGTGACAATTTAATGAAAGGTTATTTTTTGTTTTTTTTATTTAAAAAAAAAACAAAATTTTCGCATTAGCAATGATCTAAATAAAATATAGAAAACAGACACTAACTTTTATACAAACACAGGAGTGGATTAGGATCGCTTTAGCTTCGTCCTTGATTTGCATCGATTGATATTCTACTATGAGATACAGAATTTTATGACGCATGTTTTGATCGACCATTCTAAGTGTATCGAACTGACACGTGAATTTCGTCTCTATGTTTTTTCTCAAAATACTATATGATATGTGAAAGAGCCTCTGTTACTTAATAAAACCGAATCGAAAGTATTCTCATCACGGGTGACCAATAAATAATTACAATTAGCAAATTTCTTCATGTAGAAAGGTAGAAACTGAACATTTGCGATAGGACCCTTTAATTTTTAATAAAATAGAGTCTTAACCCAAGTGTTCAACTCAATACATCATCAGAACTAACTGATATGACGAAACACTATCATTTATTCTCATTGAAAAAATTAGTAGCATTTCTATTGAAATTCTTGTCAAGTATTCTATTTGCTCGCTATTTCTACGCGTAGTCTCTTCGTTAAATTTAGAATTGGTTTATTTATAGAATGAAATTAAATTCACAGTAGAATATGTTGTGATTAAAGAAGGAAAAATAAAGTAATATATAAAAGCTACAAGTAATAAGAATCAGTTCACAATGTATACTTTTAGTCGAAATCAAATCATCCGAGTAATGATAGAATACTTGAACCACCTTTTTGATCAGCATTTCCTGCAAAATACATGAAGTTCTAGAGAGAAAAACAGAAGAATGAACTGTATATAAAGAAAAATTCAAAAACACTGCAAACAGTAATACGTACGACAAGAAAAAGAGCACCCAAAGCTACGGCCTTCATTGGAACAGGTAAACTCATTGGAACTGAACCAGAAACAAATATTAAACTTTAGTTACTTGCTTCTACTTTAGCTTACATTTTATAGTATATTTTTCAGCACCTGTAAATGCTTGATTGACAAAACCAGCATACTCTTTGTAAATAGCACCCAATTCTGTTTCATCATTACCTTCGCCAGCATATATCTATTCATAGAAAATTTTCTTGTCAAAGAATCAAATGAATTATTCTTGTTTTCTTTATAATTTACAGTAAATTTGTTCTCACAACAGCAACAACAAACTCCCTGGCATATACAACATGGACCAACCACACGCAAATGTTCATTACCACCAGCATCTCTCAAGCTTAGATGACCTCGCCAGCAACTTCGTCTGAAAAATAAATAATCAATATTGGATCTTTTATCAATATTGAATTTACGTTTGTCGAACAGTGCCAATATTAACTCCAGGTGGCGATTCAATAAATGCCTCATGTGCACAACAATTAGCACTAGCACACCAGCAACATCCAACACAACATTTAAATTCACGTGAAATACGAATAATTTCCTAAAATTTTTACGAATATCAGCAAAAAAACTAACATATTTCATGCATACTTGATTCATTTGATCAAAAACATGAATGACAAAAGCTCGATTAGCACCACAACACCATCGATGACATGTATCACTTTCGTCTGTAGAAAAATACATGATGATTAAGTTTGTCAACATGTTAATCAAGTGAAGAGTTTCGATTTACTTTCTACTGCGTAGAACACAAGTTGACCTTGCTCATTGAGTATTTGAAAACGTTGAGCACTCGCAAGACCCGTAATCGCTATTCAAAAGATGATAACATAACATATAGAGAAAAATAATATATTTAAAATACTTTGCATAACACTCGGTTCCTGTATAGCTATTAACGTATCGAGTTGAGCGAGATACTGCAGACCTAAAGGCATGTTTGGCAAAGGATTAGCTAATCCTGGTGACGGCATCCATTGAAGCGTTTGTGGTATTGATTGATCGTTATCTCGTGGCTGTTCAAGTTTTACTTGAGACATTGTCACCGCTTCTGTATGAACTCTGTAAGCCATGAAAAAATAAAAGACGCGACAACTACAATAGATAAGTCTGTACTGCAACGACAAATGCTTGCTTCTTTCGTTTTGTTTTATTATCTCAACAACTCAGTATATACTAGTTACAGAACGAAAAGAAGACTGGGTCACTGAAGAAAGTGAGGCATTTGATATGAAACAAGATAGAAAAATTCTCTGACAAACATTTATCTTCAAGGTAAAACTGAAGAAGAAACAGCAGAAATTTTGATCGTAAAGTCTACTACTTCTCATTCAAGATACTAATGCAAGATATTTACGAGCAGATACGTGTGAAATATGCTTTCATCTATTGTCAACGTTGTTTCGTTTGCAACAGATATCAATCGATAGAGCATACCGATCTATGTCAAAGTCTTCGATTAATCCAAGTCATTTTCAATAGTACTTTATCCATATGTTGAGGACACAATTTTAAGAAAAATTCTAAAAGAGTTTGGTTTGATGGAAATTATTTCGAAGGTTATAATAATTTTACTGATATTTTCACAGAGCACAAGGCATATACAGCAAAAAATTGAACAAAGGAATTTCAATCCGGAGTTTTATGTATATGTAGTTCTTCCGATGATTCAAGCGGTCTAAAAATTTCATTGAAAAAAAATGTTTCCTTTTAAAGATGTTAATTCTTTAAAATTTGTCTGATAATCTATGAAATCCAGAGAAATTGACTTTATTAAAAAAAATTGAATATCTCGACTACGAAAAACTTGTTTTGCTGGAACTTTGAAAGCGTTCTAGTAACCACAAGAATTAAATATGAGCAAAATTTCAGATTGAAATTTCGTTGTTCAATTTTTCTGTCTATGTTCTATGCTAGGTAAAACAAACAGTGAAATTTTCATAACCTACGAAATAAGTCCGGTTATCTCAAACTCTCTTAGAGTAGTATTCTTAAAATATGGACAAAATATCCTTGAAGATGGTGTGGATCATTTAAGGACTTTCTCGTGTCAATTTTAGCAAATTTATTTTCTCGTCAGTTTTCTTCCCAAAACCTATTCCTGTTATCTATTTGGTATGAATTCAGTCTTCAACTACTATATATTACAAGCCAATCTTTTAAGCCGCTTTTGTTCAATTAGCGCATTGATGTCCTTTTCAATATTTATTCTATAGTGATATAGTGTGATTAGATCACACAGTGAGTGAATAAGTCCAACTAAGTCACTTCCTACCCAACATCAGAAGAGTATTATAGGATAATATCTATGTCATTGGCAATGCGTCACAACTTCAGTTCATTTTGTGTAAATTGACACGTGTCTTTCATTCTTTTGTACATTCTCAACGGTTTACTTTTATCTTCGCTGTGCCAAGCTATTACTTTTAGAGAATCATGAAATGCATATTGATTATTGAGTATCCTGCATGATATCGATTCGAATCAAATGTTGTTGCTAGTGAAAGTGGAGAGAATTTGCAGAATAGAGTAATACTTCAAGTATTTTTGTGTTAACTTTTCGACAATTATTCTAATATGTCTGCCACAAAGTTGGAAATCTATCTAAATTTTTAAATATTGAAGGTTTTTGAAATGTACTATTCAAGAGCAAAATTCTAACTCTCTCAAAGAGTGTTAATATAAATCCTTGAGAACTGCTGAATTTGTAGAAATGCTATTCTGAGCGACTTCCTGTAAAGATAGGTCCGCTAAATCGTTGGCCAAATCAGTTGTCGCAAAAATTTTGGTCCTATATGGTATGAGTGAAAATTATAGTCGAGATTTGCGGGCGTAAAAGTCGGTAAAGAGAATGCTGATGCCCACCCACATTTTCAAATAATCAAATAGTACTTGACTGAAACTGATATTCATAACAATATAGTTAGTTTTATAGATTGTTGAGAATATCAGTTCGTCGGGTACAGTTGAGAGCATACGTGAAATACAAAATTTTGTTTTTGTGTGAAACAGCATTTTAGCAAAGAAAAAAGAATTGAGATGTGCATGTCCTGTCCATCAGGTTCATATTCTTGCTTGTTAGGTTTGGCCACGTTTGTACTCGCGGTTTTTGAAATTTTTACTAACTCTGTGTGATTAAATCTCGATGATTAGTGAAAGATGTTACCCGTTGAAAGTCTTTTATTTGTACACGTTTTCAAGACTTTTACGCCTGACTGAGCACTAAAGTTGAAACTTTGAACATACTCTCTAAGTGTCCAGAAGGACACAGGAGCATTGCTACTATTTATAGGACTTCTCTCTTACTAAGAAACAATCTACGTGATGGGTACAAAAAAGGATTCTTCATACCGTTAGCTTCTTAAATACCAGAAAATTGTGCGCCATAACGCATTCTTTTTCAAGATATTATTAATACTGGATAGAGTATAACAAAAGAAACTAGTTGACATATAAAAAGAAAACTCCAAAAAAAAGGTGAATCAAAGTCTTGTATTAATCAAAATAAACTAGTTTTATCATATCACGAAAAATAAGAACTCATTGAAACTTTCGATGTTCAATAAAGAGCTTGATTGGAACTGTAGGTCGCATGATAGCTTCGAAAGAAAGTTGTAATTCATCGATGGTTTGCGTGGCACGTAAAGAGTATTGACGAAGTAGTGTTGACAAAATAACCTTTTCTTCGAGCAGAGCAAAACGTTGACCTAAAAATGAATGATCATTGATGTTTTTTTTATTGATGTAATTGAGAAGAAGATAGAAACTGACCAATGCAGTTGCGAGATCCAGCTGAGAATGGAACAAAGGCAAAAGGCGAACGTTCCTCATTCGTCACTGAACTTTGGTGAAAACGATCTGGATCAAATCGTTCCGGTTGAGGAAATGCATTTGAGTCATGATGAACACCATAAATGAAAATATATACGGTAGTACCCTTTCGTATCGTTTGGCCATCTATAACAAAAATAACAAAGATATTCAAGCTATTGTTTATCTTTAACAGTTTGGACATTTAATCTTTAACATCAGAAAAAATTCTTCCACTTACGACAAATAAAATCTTCTTGTGCCTCACGCATAACAAACGGGACTGGTGGAAGAACACGCATGGATTCCTATATTTATCCGAATTTTATCATCCAATGTATACAGAAGTTTTTGTTACACTCACTTTGATTACAGCATCGAGATAGACCATCCTTTGCGCATCGTCTATTGTGCACATTCTCTCTTTGTCACCTACACAGTAATCATATATGTAATCTTTGATAGCTAGCAGAGACAAAATGATAATATACCAGAAAAGATATCATCTATTTCAGCATGAAGTTTTGCTTGAACATCTGGATGAGATCCAATTAAATAACAGGTAAAGTTGACAGCAGCTGCTGTTGTATCATGTCCCTGGTAGGATTTATGATTAAGATATGACAAGAATAAACATAAAAGCATACTTCGAACATGAACGTATCGACTTCTTCTTGAATATCGTCTAGTGTGAGTTGTTCAGAATTCATTTGAGCGAGAAGACTATCAAGAAAGACAAGACGACGAGTGGTTTTCTTCTCACTATTACTCGTGGTATTTTCAGCGTTGAATGTAGCAAGACGATCTTCAATAATCTATTAATTTAAATAAAACATTAATAATTAAGAGAGACTGCAAACAACAGAAGGACTACCTTGCGAGAGACACCATGAAGGATGTTGAGTCGTTCGGCTTGTTCACGACCTATCGGTAATCGATCAAAGATCCATGTAGGCCACATCCATGGAGATCGTATGCGATGATTTATTATACCACATACGCTAAAAAAAAATGATGATCAATAGTTTGTTTATCAGATAAGTTCTCATCGATCAAAGATAAATTTAAACTTCAAAAAATATATTTCTCAACAAAGTGGCTCATTTTTGCTCTGACTTGCGTCTTCTTCATATGCGATAATAACAGTTTTTCTCTTCATTTATCTTAGTATACATATATGCATTTCTACTCTTAGTCTTTCTATTGTTATTGATTTTGTTTTTTCCTTAGTCATGGAATAAACAAGGCACATCATGATTTCATAAGTTTATTGTACCGTCCGGTTGCTTCGACGAATTTATTCTTTCCACCGCTTGATTGAGCTTCAACATGTTTGCCCAAAGCCGACTCTAGAATTTCAATGAATAAAGAAATATACTTTCGTTCTATTTAATATATCTAACCAGCAATAATATCGAGTGTGCATGTTGATATATACGGATAAAGATCGTATGCTTTCGGTTCATCTCCAACTGAAATGCATTCCTCAAGACGTCGAGCAAATACACAAGATTGTTCATTAAATATGAGCATAAAATTGTGCAACAATTGAGTATCATGAAACGATGGTGTAATAAGACGACGACGTGCACGCCATTTGGCATTATTACTAGGAAAAGAAAAATAATATGAATAGTATTGATCAAATATTTTATTCATGCCTGGTAAGTAGACCTGTCTTTAGCCAAGGCTCAAGAAAGGTATAATCGAATGATTTGACAAGCTGTTTACTATTGTTGATAAATGTCTGAAATCGAAAGATAGAATGCTACCAAAGAAATTTAATGACATATTCTTACTGCAAGGTTTTCTCCTGTACATGCAAAAACCATCGGCCAGAGTGAATACCAGAGGCAAAATAAACCTTTTGCTTGTTGTTGTTGTTGCTGTTGACATTCTCTTGCCATAACCATAAGAAGACGAGAGAAGACATCTTGTCGTTTATCGAATTGATGTATATTACCAATGAATGGGATCGGTGAAATGGGAAGAGATGGTATTTTATGATAATCTTGTCGTAATTTAGTATATTTTACCCAAACTGGCACCAAACGGTAGATAACGAAAAGAAAAAGTAGGACAAATAGTATCGACAAGGACAATAATACCATGATGATAGTTAATTTATCTAACTCAACGAATATTTGCACGAATAATATGCTTGAAACTGTTTGTTAGAATATGAAGAAAGAAATAGAAAAGAGAACGAAAGATAAGAGTATAGGCCATCAATAAACTCAAATTCAAGCAAACGACACAAAAG